TTTACAAAGTACTGTGACACAATCTATTTCAAAAGTCAGTGCTGGCCTAGAAAGCAATTATGGGCACAGGGTTAATGTTTAGGGCCAGTCTTAATTGGCTTACCCAAGCCACAGTGGAAAACTACCCCAAACTGTATTTACAGTGACCATGAATTTACAATGACCAAGAAGTTTGGCCACAGGGTAGAGCTGAGAAAATGTTAGCTGAGATGGGAGATTACAGGTGTGGAATAATACATTTACTGTCAGAATTGGCTACTGTGTTGATTAATTTTGTTGAATTGCTTTTTTTCACCTCTTTTTTTTTAATTCTTTGTTACAAAGGATGGCTTGATGGGTTGGGAAAGTAAGGAAAGATATATTCAGAAACAAAGATAATTTTTAAAAATGATAACAATTTAAAAAAATCAAATGCAAGAAAGTTATATACACAAATAAACATGGTAACAAGGGAGGTGAAGTTGACATGGGTTCTAGGTGTGTCTCCAGAGGACCTGGATTTGAATTCTTTCTTGACACTTGTTACCCTGTTAAGGTGGGCACTTGGGTACGTGGTGAGCTGGAAGAAATGTGTGGGTGTAGCATATTAGGAAATTATGGTGATGGGACAACCTAAACATTTAGATCAATAACATTTTTTTAAAGCAGCATGAGAAATTTGAGGCCAATGCCAGAACTAGTTTATATTTTTTATCTGACAAGCAATTGGAGAGTCCCTTTTTCTCAAGGCCTAACTCACAGGCCACCTCTTCCACGAAGCCTCTCCCTAAAATCCCCTTCTCTACACTCATGCAAGAGTAACCTCTTTCACCTCCAATTTCTCACAGCACTAGCAGGCCCTTTCCTCCAAACTTCACCCCACAATTTTCTCAATTTCAACATGATCAAATCAAGAGGCCAGGAGGACTGCTGGGGCAGCTCCAGTGACTGGAGGTGGGACGAATGCAGGACAGGTAAGCCTGTTCATATAATCATTGAGATTCAGGGCTAAAAGGACCACTGAGCCTAAAGCTCTCATCTACAGATGAAGTAAATGAAGGCCAAAGTGATTTTTCCTATGATTTACCAAAGGTCACACAAGTACCAAGAAGCAGAACCACAAATTCTGGGTACTAGTTAAAAAGTGCGTGGGGTGTGTGTGTGTGTGTGTGTGTGTGTGTACGTACAATAAGTGAGAGGCAGTGTCATTATGTAAAGGAAACAACTCTCTGAGAAAGACATCATGCATTCAGAGCTAGAAAAGACTTTGGAGGCTACTGGGTACAGTTCCCTCATTTTACAGATGAGGAAAATGAGAATGGTGACTTGCTCAGGGCCACACAGCTAGCAAGGCAAATCCTGAGGCAGGATCTGAACTCAAGGTCTTCTTGACTACCAAGTACAAAGTTGTCCCTGATATGCTACCTCACTCACTGCATGTCATGTAGTCCAACACCTTCATTTTACAGATGAGGAAACTGAGGCCCATGAAGGTTAAGTCATTTGCTCAAGGTAGTAAGTAGCAGGGTTGGGATTGAACCTAGGTCCTTTAATACCAAAGACCCTTCCTACTGCACCTCAATGCTCACAGAGTAGCCACCTGATGAGGTATGCACAACCCTACAGCCATGAGTTGTAGGCATGGGACTTAATCTGGAGAAATCTTTTCTTTATAAAGGAAAAATGGGATCTATTACCCAGGCCATATTTCTTTTGGTCTATGATGGTTTTAGGGAAGGCTTCCCTAAAGAGAGAAACAGGTGAGGGGGAGGACACGGATTAATCAGCAGGTATTTATTGATTACTTATAATGTGCCCGGGAGTAAGAATCCTTTCAGGGCCATTCTACCCTTGTAATTTCCTAGGTAGGCCTAAATAATGACTATTAGACAAAGGGCATTGGATGTTCCTCGTTATTTTAGATTTTTAAGATTAAATGATTTTCTCTTTTAAGCAAAGGAACATGCTACAAGCCAAGTAAATAAAGTTTTGAGTCTTTGGTTTATTTCCTTGGGGGGGGGGGGGGTGAGGGGAGACAATGACTGAGTGCCCAGTCTGTATCACCTCCCCAAGATGCAGCATTTACCACGCAAAAAAGGAATTCTGTTTCCAAACTTGTTTAGCTGCTTGTCACTATTGTGTGCCACAAAATTTAAAACAATGGAGGAATGTTTCTTTCCCTTAGAAGTTCTTTGTGCATGTGTATATTTTTCAATCAGACCAAACTAAAAAACCAAATAAATCAACTATTTGATTCAGAGGGGACTTAGAGGGGTTGTCTGGGTGACCTTGGGTAACTAACTAGATTTCTCATAAAAAAAAATGAGGGTTGGGTGATTTTCAAGATTCCTAACAGCTGGAAACATCAGCCAAGAGAATAGATACATTTTCTTGCATATTTATTCTCTGAAATTATTCTTTTAAACGGGCTCAAAAGAAGCCTTCTTACCCGAAGATTAAATTTTTCTATCTTTGACACATTTGTCTCAGCTTTGTAACAGAGGCCAAAGTATTTAATTTAGTCTTCCAGAACTAAATATGTAAACTTCTGAAGTCAATGTCCCATCATGCTGATGTGGGCTCCAGGCATTAACAGGCTGGCAGGGAAGGAAGGGCTGTCACCCTAATTAGTAGCTTCCATTACAGCCTCCTTACCATCTCAAAGGCTATTAAATCACTGAAAACAGATGTCTGAATTACATTAGGGTCTTGCCAGTGCCTGGGAAAGTTGAGAAGTTTTAGAATTATCACACTGCTGACATTCCCAGACTTACAACCACCCATCCTCTAGGGCCAGTTTGTCTCTAAGAGACCCCTGAAATCTTTAGCTATGGCTCATTGCTGCTTTTATGAGTTTAGTCATTTTCAATCCTCCCCATTTGGGGTTTTCTTGACAAAGATACTGGAAGGGTTGGCCACTTCTTTCTCCAGCTCATTTTACAGATGAGGAAACTAAGGCAAGCAGTGTAAAGTGACTTGCCCAGGGTCATGCAGCTAGTGTCTAAGGCTGCATTTGAACTCATGTCTTCCTGACTCCAGGCCCGGCGCTCTACTCACTATGCCACCTAGCTACCCCTTGGCTACAGCAGAGTGAGTCAAATAAGGGTAAGTTGTTATGGCTTTTAATTTGCAGGCAGTGGTAGTTACACCGGAATGATTAAGAACTTGGATTCAAATCCTGGCCTTGCTGCTACTTACTATCTGTGCATAACCTCAGGCAAATCTCTTTGTTTCCCTTGGACTCAGTTTCCTCATCTGTAAAACAAAGAGGCTGGGCTAGGTGTCCTCTGAGATCTAGCACAGTTCCTGGAACACAGTAGACACTTAATCAGTGTTTACTGACTGACTGTCCTCATAGCCCTAGATCAATGATTAGGTGACCTCTCAGTTCCTATGATCACTGATCATTTCTCTTTTTTAATCTGCACCTTTCTGCTGAGCCCAGACCTCTCTCCATACGAAGGTAAAAGGTAACTAAACTTCCAAACAAAGTCTGGCTACCACCTTGGCATTTGGTGAAAAGTCTCCCTTACCTTTTGACTTCTAGATAAAATAAAAAAAAATTGATCATAGCGCAAAAAGTTTGGGAGGTCTTAAGACTAGTTTCCATTCTGTGTCTAAGTCATACACCACAGCCTTAGCCTTCCAGCCTCTCCTTCCCTAGCTCTATGATCCAGCTAAACAGGCCTTCTCTTGGAACACTTCTAACCCCAACCCATCCCTTTTCAACTGCCATGGTATTGAGAGAGTGAACTCCCCTGAGGGCAGGGAATGTTTTTGCCTTTCTTTGTATCCCAAGCACTTAGCATAGTGCCTGCCACAGAGTAAGCCCTAAATAAATGCTCATTCACTGAGTGAGTAACTGGAATGAAGTCTTCCTCAGAGTCCTTCTTCTTTTCCTTTAAAACACAGCTCAGGAACCATCTTCTGCAAGAAGCCTTTCCTGACCAGTCCCTCCCCCATAATTGCTTGTGTCTTCCCACCCAAAATGGCATTAAATCACTTTACAGATTTATTAAAATTTCATTAAGACTTTTGGGACACCTTAAGAGTTATTAAAACTACTAAGATTTTTGAGACAACTCTGTATTTGTATTTATTTGCTTTATATTTATGCTATCTATCTGTGTGTATATAGTCTGTACATGTACAGTATATACAGAAGGTACATATTTCCTCTGTTAGAACATAAGCTCCTCGAGGGCAAAGAATATTTTCTTTCTTTTTTTTTTAATCTCCTAGTGACTGGCACACAGTAAACAATGAATATTTGTTGATTGACTGATTATTTGTTCTCTAAGGTGGGGGAGGGAGGGGAACTGAATAATAACTCCTATTTACAGAGGTCTACCAAGGGTTTCGATTTCAAATACTTTTTAAAAAAAAATTAATAGCAGTGTAAGTCTTAAAAAAAATACAGCTAACATGGTTGGGGAAAAATAACCCATTAGGTTTTGCTTCTGGGATGATTCCTACAAAGTTAGAGCCCAGAGAAAATGTTTTATAGCTAAATTTAGAACTGTTGGAAAGCACATTTAAAGAAAAAAACAAAAACAAAACAAAACCCAAGAGATCAGGTAAGCCTGAGATGGTACAGGCCTCATTCACTGACACTACTTCAAGCAGATCAGAGGGTAAGTGGCGGTAGGATGTCTATTACCGACAACAGAGACCTGGAGTATGGAGTGTAGGGGCAAGTGAGGCCCCAAAGTCATCTACTTCCACTCTGGAAACCTTTGCAGGGCAGGAGGGCCAGGAAGACGGCAGCATATCAGCAACCGGCCTGGAGACTTATCAGGTAAGGCTTCAAGCAGATAGCAGTTTCCTGTTTGCAGACCCCCTGTGTTAAAGCTTTACTTGGCTTGGTACTAAACTACCCGATTTTTATAAAAATCTCTGAGAACTCACTTCTTAATGTGCTGTAAAAATCAAAGTAATGGCAAACAGATGAAAATCCCCCCCTTTTCCCAGATCTATTCACCCTCCTTTTAAAATGTCATCACAGCTACAGGGACACTGACCTGCTTTGCCCATTCCCCCTTTCCTCAAAGGTCCTTCAGCCTGGCACCCAACTCTGAGATGAGGCCTGCTTAGCACCAGTGAAGTTCCCCACATTCAGACTGACAACGTTTTGAGCAGAGATGAGGGAATCAAAGTTAAAATCCAACCCATCGGCATCCATGAGTTCACTGCGAATGATGGATTCCATGTCACATTCCAAGCTCCCATTAAAAATATCCAGGTCCAAATCACTTGGGAATTTCTCGTGGCCCATGACCGGAAGGTTCACACTAGTGGAATACAAAGAGGACCCTGAGAGTGAGTCAGAAAGGGTTTGCATAGAATGGCTGACGGGTGACTGTTGCTGGTGTTTGGCTGACCCTAGGCCATTGGCGTCACTCAAGCCCATGCTGTTGACGGCGTTAGACAAGGCACGGTTACCGCCAAGAGGACTCTGGGTTTGGTGCTGCTGGTGGAGTAGATTCTGATTGACCAAACTTCCCTGGTTGGACTGAGCAGCGAAGGACATCATTGGGTCATTGCGGAGCATGACGCTCCTCCGTGAATTCTGGGCAGACACAGCTGTGCTGGCCTGGGACATCAAAGGGTCCGACTGAGTCATCATGACATCGCTGTGGCTCAGCGAGTCAGACGTCAGCAGGTCCTGGAGCGACTGGTTGCTGTAGTGTGACATGGAAGAGAAGGTGGCCGGCTTGTTCTCTTGGATGGTCTGCATGGGAGACTGGCGCAGAGAGTTCAGAGAAGAGGGGCCGAACACAGCATTGTTCAAGCTGCCTGATGGAGAACCCAGACCCGAGCCCTTGGCAGTATATGGGAAGCTAGAACTCCTCTGCATGAGTCCTGATGATGGTGACTGCTGGGAGGGCGGGAGCGTGATATTGTCCAAGAGGTCATCCATGAGGTTGTCTGTCAGTCCGTCATTTAAGTTCATCGTGCCTGCCATGTCGGTCAGCCGTGGGAGTTCCACGGTGCACGGTTTGCTGACCGATGGGGACATGCTTGACGAGTTGCTATACAGCATGGGGGAAAGCGGCGGGTCGTCATCCTGGACTTCATCCAGCTCAGTGGTCGCCAGGATGGGTGACAAGCGCCCGCTTATCGTGCTGGCGTTGGAGTTGGTTCGGGAGCGGAAGTCCGTCCATGTGTCCAGCTCATCGCTGCTTCGAGAGGTGGGGCTGCCCGGCCACTTGGTGAGCTGGGAAGGACTATCTTCTGTGGCTTCCTGGGAAGCCTGCAGAGAAGCCTTTTTCTTAGCTGCTCGCCCCCTACTCTTGGTGTACTTGTTGCTATTGTCCATGGAGACAGCTCTTCGCCGAGGGGCCTTTCCGCTTTTGCCCCCGTCTGGATTGATCATCCACCAAGAACTTTTCCCAGTCCCTTCATTTTGTACCCTTTTGAATCGACTGTGGAGGGACAAGTTGTGACGGATGGAGTTCTGTAAGAGGGAGAAAAAAAAAATCCACAATTTTTAGAAAAAATTGTTCTACCCCCGCCTAAAAAACCCAAATCTATTTAAAGTCTAATTAAGTAAGCATATTGGAACAAAATTAAACGTTACACAAGGACACACTGAGTTTGCCCCTTGCATGTTGTCTAAAGTAGATATGCATCCTTTATTTCTAGCCATTAGGATTGGGAAGACATCCCTGTTACCCTGTGGTTCCATTCCCTACATCCTCTCCTGTTCATATCTCCACCTGTGACCTTACTCCCAAACATATGAAGAGTGACAGAAACATTTGCTAGAGTACTGAAAGGTGGGAGGTAGAAAGATTAATCCCACCCCCCCCACTCTATCTTCTATCTTCCTCCTACTCCTCATTATACCACAAAAAATACAAATTGTAGCATCTGCCATGAAATAATCCACTCCATCTGGTAGATAAGTACACCTGACAAGAATGACCTAGATTCCAGTCCTAGCTCCCTACTGACTAACCCCCTGTGACCATGGGCAAGTCATTTAATCAGCCTGAACTCCAGTTTCCCCATCTTCATTACAGCCATTATAATACTTGCCCCATCCCTCCCTGACAAAGATGATGTAAGGATAATGCAGGATAATATATGTAAAGGTCTTTTGGCTCTTCAGAGGCAATGCTTAAAATGAATTCAAGGGGTTATCACTTTTGTTATTACTGAGCTCATTGGATAGATTCAATGGGTGATGGTATACACCCCAGCATGGACAGATCCTAATTTGCAAAATGCTTCCCAGGAAACCTAAGAGAGAGAGAGAGTGGGGGAGAGCAAGGCTGGCATTCTCCCCATCAGGTCTTCGAGGCCAGCTGAATTAATCCAACTTAAAGATGAAATAACTCTCTTGGCGCTCTATATTAAAAGAACAAATTTTAAAGTTATCCGAGTTTTAGAAAATTGGCAATCACCAACTGTATTTATGTAGATGATACAAATCCATGTGTTCCACCAGAATGTCTTTAAAAAACACAGAGTCAACAGGATTTTACTATAAGCAAACAACTCCAAACATTTGAAGCATGTGCTCTCATAAAGACAGGACTGCAGTGCTGATAGGGGTAACATAACCAAGAGTCACAAAGCCAGTATCTTTGGCATTTATACAGCTGCCATAAAGAGGCGTCTGAGATAGGAATATATAGGTGATACATGTGATGAATGGCTGAACGATGAAGCCAAGTTTGCTTGGGAGATTATATTCTACTGCCTTTTATTTTTACAGTTCTTTAAATAATATTTCTTTGCTAATGTCTTGAGAAATCATATTTCTTTAAAATGTAAAAAACCCAACCCAACACCCCTCTCAAAAAAGTTTCCCATCAAAGAAACTAGGAATACCCAAAAAACAAAGATTAAAAACAACTGGGAAATAAAGTTAAAAAATAGTCCCGTTCGGGGTAGCTCTTCTATCAAAATTGACCCAAATTAAGCAGAAAGGTCTTGAGCTTTATTAGGAGACAATGTGGGCTAAGAATATTCTCTAGGTCCAATAGACTCAGGGAGGCAGCAGGTCACCACCAAGACCTAAGCCAACCTTTCACTGCATTAAAGTATTTTAGAAATTTTTAGTATCATCCATCTCTTTCACTTTTAATGGCACTAGCACCATTTGATGTATGAGACAAGAGTTCAAAATGACACCTACAACCAACAAGATACTCTTGGGAAATCAAACGTCAAACAATAAGAAATAGTCGGGCTTGTTTTCCCTTAAGGAAGACTCCTTGTACCTTGTGGAACGCTGAGGCCTTTGATGTGGGCCTTTTTTCCATCTATGAAGTTCATTCTTCTTACCCTATGAGACACTGATCCTTCATTGACGCTGCCTCAATGTGCTGGAGGTCTTTTTCCATGCATGGCTTTTTCCATTTTATGGGCAACACTAAGAGATATATTTTTTTTGTTTTGTTTTGTTTTGTTTTGGGATAGAGCAGGGAAGGAGAGAATGTATTTTCAAGTTTTGCTAAATTCAAACCAACTATGAAAAGGGGGTGTCCCTTGAAGAATTTCCCAATGTTAATAATCTTTTATCTTACACATGCCTGTTTATGAGAGGCAGCTTGGCGGTCTCAGAATCAGAAATATGGGTTTAAGGCCTACCTTTGGCACACTGCCTAGGTGCAGCTAGGTGGCATAATATATAGAATGCCAAGCCTGGAGTGAGGAAGACTTATCTTTCCTAATCTGGCCTCAGACACTTACTAGCTGTGTGACCCTGGGCAAGTCACTTAACCCTGTCTGCCTCAGTTTCCTCATCTGTTAAACGAGTTGGAGAAGGAAACAGTAAACCACTTTAGTATCTTTGCCAAGAAAACCCCAAATGGGATCACCAAGAGTTGGACGTGACTGAAATGTGACTGAATAATTTTGGCACAAAATGTGTGATTCTGTACAAGTCACTTCTGGTGCCCCACGAAATTCTTTAAGACTGTAAACTGCAGAACAGATGACAATCTGTATTCATTGGGAAAATTTCCTCACCAGAAGTTCTCTATGTTGATTAAAAAAAACAAATAAAAAACACAGGTCTGTCCCCCCCATATATAAGTGAATATACTTATCAAATAGAACAACCCTTTTGGTTTGCATTTGGAGATATAGTAAAAGAAGTGTTTTTTCACCTAAGTTACTTTCCAGAGGGGGTGTGGTGCAAGGATTAGAACATTTCTGTCTAGAAATAAGACTTTGAAATCGCTTCTTTATATCTTACTTCTCGAGAGTAAGTTTTCAAGAATATCTAGAAGTAAATCAGTGTCATCTGATTTCATTTTCACAAAAATGTCCACTATTGGGTGATGGGGAACACATTTATTGCTCTTAAAAAATAAATCAACAAATTTTTAAAAAGAGGTTGTCTTTTAGAAGAGTTGCCTTGAAAAAGTAAGCAACTGGTTTTTACTTCTACTATGCCACATGACTGTACTAAGATATTCTTGCCCCTGGGAAAGTGGCCATTATAATGAGAGAAAGTCCATTATTGATTGTACTCAGCAATTTTGATTTTCTTTGGATTCTGAAATGAAATCTAATTTATTAAATAGGTGAGTTATTTCCTCGCCCCAAGTCTGCAAGACTCACTTTGGAGGTTATTAGTGACAGAATACATTCCCCGAGGCATCTCATTAAATTACCTAATAAGACCCAGGCAGGTTTTTCCAGTAACATTAGTAAAACACAAAACACACATATATCCAAACATACTCTACCATTATTCCCCATCCCCACACACCCACATGTGAATAGATTTCCAGATACACAGACCTTCCATTGACACATCTCACACTCTACATGATGGAACATTTGTAAAATATCTACAGTCAGATTCCTGGTTGTTTTAAAAACTACCTAATGTTCCATTATCATCATCTTGAAAAATGCCAAAATCAACATCTGTGATGTGTGTTGGCATTCTTTTTGCAGTTGTCATGCGCTTCTTACCTGAGTTTAAATCCTGCCTCAGACATTTACTAGCTGTGTGTCCTAGGCAAGCCACTTTAACTGCTCTCTGCCTCAGTTTACTCATCAGTAAAATGGGGAAATAAGAGTATCAGCAGTCTTCAGAGTTATCAGGATAAAATGTGAGATACATGTGAATTGCCATGCAAACTTTAAAGTGCTCCGTAAATGTTAGTCACTGTTACTATTATTGTTGGTGTTACTAGTTTTCCTACTGAAACTTGGGGAGAAAAGCTTAGAATCACAAAGCCTTATATCTGGAAGATGACAGCTAGTTGGAGCCGTACCTGACCAACAATCCCCACTTTAAAACTCTCCCAAAGTGATTATCCAACCATCCTAGAAAACCCCAACAAGGAGGAACCCGCCACCATTCGTGGCAGCTCATTTGTCTTTTGGAAAACATCTATGGTTATCAACTCCTTTTTTGCCCCCTTAACTTTTTTCCTTCTCTAAGCTAAATATCCCCAGTTCTTTTTACTGATCATTGTGTATCCCCTGGTCTCCAGGCCCTTCCTCACCACCTTGGTTATTTTATTCTGGAAACACTCCAACTTGTCTTAATTTTTCCTAAAATGTGGTGCGTAGAATGGAACTCTGTACTGCACATATGTTCTGACCTAGATTGAGTAAAATGGAATTGATCACCTCCTTCTGAACACTATATTTCTCTTATGATGCTACTAGTTTTTTTTTTTGTCTGCCAACCTCAAGTCCATCAACCCTATCTCCCCCTATCTTTCTACATATCATGTACCTTATTCTATGAAGCTGATTGTGTGAATCAAATGTACAACTTTAAAGTTATTCCTACTGGCTTTCATCTTACTAAATGCTCCAAATCGCTAATAAGAGAAATGTAAAGTACTCTTAAGTTTTCATACCTAGCAAAATGGCCAAGATGACAAAAAGATGGGAATAGTTAATATTAGAAGGGTTATGGAAAGACATACTAATGCTCTGCTGGGCATACTCTGAATTGGTCCTATCATTCTCAAAAGTTATTAGGAATTATGCAAATAAAGTAGTCAAAATGTCCTTTGACCCAGATGTTCCATTTCTAGGTATATACCCCAAGAAGGTCAGTGATATAAAGAAATGCCCCTACAAACATCAAAATATTTACAGTAGCACTTTTTGTAGTAGCAAAGAATTGGAAAAAAAGAAGCCTATCCATTAGGAAATGGCTAAACAAGTTTTGGTACATGAACATAATGGAATAATATTGGGCTCTAAGAAACAAGGAAGATTATGTATACAGAGAAGCATGGAAAGATTTATATGAACTGATGCAAAGTGAAGAAGGCAGAGCCATGGAAACAATAGAACACTGTCAATAGCGTAAATGAAAAGAGCAATATCAACAAAGTGATCAAAAATGAATGCTGTGAAAATAAAATGACCCAGCATGGTCCCAAAGAGAACAAACTTCCTTTCACTTCTCTTTGAGAAGGCTAGGGTTAGGGATAGGGAAAGAAGATGATGGGAGGAACTATGGGT